TTGTATGTAGTATTTCTTATGTAAACTCTTTTGCAGTATTATTTATGTCAACTCTATTACAGTATTATCAAGGCATTTATTTTCATGAACTGTTTTTTTTTTAACTGGTGAAGTGAACATAACATATATGATCGAGCACTTGTGCATACATATAATAAACTTACATGTTTATACAGAAAATACATTTACTGCAGTAATTGTCAAACAAAATGTTTTTTCCCACAATTGTCTTTTCCATTCTCCAATAAAATTAAAGTAGTTTTTTACAAGTGGTAATGTAGTTTTCTACATGTGAATTTACTTTTACTAAACAATCAATTTCTGAACATGATTTGATGGGAAAAAGTTTAGTACACATGCAAGTGTTGGATGCAGCTGGTGTTTTCCATTTTTGCATTGATTATTTTTCAGTTGAGTACATATGTTATTGATTGGCTGAATATGACATGTTTTTATCAGGAAACAACCAAATATTTGTTTTGTTTTTAGGATGTTGATTACTTTCCCTGAATGTTTTGTTTGTTGGTGCTAGATGCCTTGAAAATTGTACAGTTTTACATGATAATAAAGTGTTATATCTTTATATACAGTTCTAATGTTGGATTGTGATTTATAGTCCTTTGTTTGTTGCAATGAAGAAATGTGTTATCTACCCGTATGCAGTTCTTTTAGTTATTCATTTATTGAAACATTTATACAGAATAAAAACATGTCCATGACCCCTCTAAATTGTTTGAGTGCCCCAAACTTTTGATGGCAACATTTCACATAAATTGCATCATAATGTGACAGAGGATGTGATTTAAGACCTGTTTCTGCAAGGATTTTCAAAACAAATATGTTTGAAGTCGAATATTGATTAAAGAATACAAAATTTAAGTTTTCTGCATACAACAGAAAACCCAAATAATGTATTATTTAACAATATTTCTCTTCAAGCACATTTTTGGAGGGAAAGTGTGTTTAAAATGGCACCCCCTTTCACATTATGATACAATTCAAGTGAAATATTGCTTTCAAATTTTTGGCGGATTTCAGGCTCCCAACACTTTAGAGGGGCTTTAAAGACATACAATTGTAAAAATAAAATCATTTCAATTGTTTCAGAGCAAAATAATACCGAAATTCATAGATGCACATTTCAATGCAAAAAAATATTATCAATATTTTATTGTTAACATAAAGAAAATGGGATACATTGAAAAAAAAAAAAAAAAAAAAACATAGAAAGCACTAATCCAGTGAACTATCTGCTTTGTGGGCCCCGATCAAATTGTAAGACTGAGAAGAAAGCAAAAGTAGAAGGAGATCGAGAAGAAGAAGAAAATGAGTAGGAGGAGAAGGAGAAGAAAAGGAACAAGGTGATATAGAAATTTGACCTCTTAGAGACAACAATACTGATAAATTATATGGAAAAGAATGATTTCTATCTCAAATGAAGATATACACATTTTCCACTTCATTATAATTTTAGTTGAAAATCGACTCTTTTCTGTTCTGTTTCTGTAAATAAAAACTGAGAGAGAAAAGATAATAGGTCTTCATATTAGTCGGGGTTTATATTTCATTCAAAAAATCACTTCTCAGCGCCCGCTTGCAGCAACCCAGCGCCAACCACTTTTTTTCAGGGGACGATCACTGAACTGGAATAAAGGTTCAGTGGGGGGGGGGGGGCATCATGTATAGTACAGGAGCAGATCTACGAGGGGTTAGGGGATTCACCCCCCCCCCCCCCCCCTGGGCTGCCAAGTGAAAATGTGATGGGCACTAACACAATGGCATTGTGTGAGTAGATGCCAGGAAAACATCAATTACGGGGATTCAAAATATCCCCCCCCCCAACAACAACAACAACAAAAAACCCGCCTTACCGCTACGCGGCTCGTGTGGACGATGTCTGTATCGTCACTGGGCCAACCCCCCCCCCCCCCCCCACCCCTTAGCAAAATGCTAGATCTGCCCCTGTAGTACCACGCCCCCATGGTTCAACCCGTATTATAAGATTTGTATATCCGTTTGAGGACATCTCATTTCAAAAACAAACACCGAGCTATTCACGTCTGTGAGCTTCTCTCGCATACGTCAATAATTTATTGTTTTCTGTTCGTTTGTCGGCACTCATCTACAAGGCGATTAATATCACTTCATGTGTCGGATGCATGTGAAGAGGTAGTATTAAGACTTCTCCCAGATGTATATGACTGTTCCGTCTTTATTGCATGCTGGAGAATGATATGAGCAAAAATGCACGCTTCTATACTTTATTTGACCAACGGTATGATAATTATTATCGCGTACAAAAAGGTCTCCATCACAAAGAGCAAAACACGATCTTTTTTCATTTGCAGAATGTCCTTCTTTTTTAATCCACAAAATTGTTTTTGCAAGTTAAACGCAAAGTATTCAATTTGTCATACTTATCTCGTTAATGACATTCATACTATTTGATCCTTAATGCCCCCAAATGAACGCTTTTAAACCGTGATCAAGCGACTTGTTCACTAAGAGGTGATAATATTAGGGATGCTTCGGCTTCCAGTAACAATGTGGTATAGATAAATCTAACAAGAACAAAAAAGGGAAAGAGAGAAGAAAAGAAAGACAAGGGGAAAATGAAGGAAGAAATGGAGAACAGGGGGAAATGGGGAGGGGGGATTAGAAGGAGAGAGAGAGAGAGAGAGAGAGAGAGAGAGAGAGAGAGAGAGAGAGATGTATGCAGTGCTGATTTTTATTTTGTTGCCCGCTCTCGCAATTTTCCAGCAATTTTTTAAAAACATATTTTTGTTCAGATACATGTAAGTCAGAGAGCTTGTACTCGCCAGTCAGCCGAATTCATAATTAGCGGAGCGGTGGAGGCATGCATAAACGTGTCCCTATAGAGCGGGCTGAGAAACTCCATCTTATAGCCCCCCCCCCCCCTAACTGCAGGCTGAAAATGCAAAAGCTCACTAGAATGGGAGTTGAGGGGGGCACCGTGATATTTCAAAAGGGGTAGCCAGGTCGATGTGCCTGTTTAGCAAATTTATGAAGCCAACCTTCGAAATTGAAGAGAAGATTGAAGTTGGTGCACTTGACTAAGTTATGATTAAAGCTCAAATAATCAATAGAGCAACAACAACAAAATCAAAAATGAATGTCGACGCTCTTTCGTTATAAATGTAAAGTAATCTTCAGATATATACTAATCGAGAAATCATACATGCATTATTAATGCATCTGTTTCAAAAAAAGGAAATAAAAATAACTTGTGAATAAAAATTTTGCTCGCTCACTGGCATAAAAATGTCAACATAATTATACGACATGCAGCACCTAGTAATGACTGCAAAACAAAGTCTGTTGCCAGAATACACACTAAAACGTAAAGACTGGTTTCAACTTATCTATTTGTTCTGCATTAAGTCGGGGCTCAGAATACTAAATTTATCCACATTTTCAAATAAACAAAAAGGAAACTTAAAGGTTCAAATTACACTTGAAATGGTAATATAAATGCAGTTTATAATCATATTGCAATCAATGTATAAGTGTTATTTGATTTCCAATTAATTATTTTCAGAATGATATTATGCTTGTGATGATGCACATTTGCTATTATTGCTATTTGTATATTTCTTCTTGTACTATGTTTATGTACAATGATTGTAAAACCAGTGAAAAAAAAGAATTTCCCGAATTGACAATAAATGGCAATTCAATACAATTTAATTCAAGTCTTCTCTTGGAGTGCTCTCTCGTACCAACCCCTCATCTTGAGTCTATATTAGACCCCCCCCCCCCCCCCATGCAGGCGTAGGCTATTTATAAGGTAGGCATAATGTTGAAATGAAATTCATGGACAAACTTTTACGATGGGAATGTGTTGAAAACGCCTATAAAAAGCGTGTGAAACCCCCGTTTAGGTACTTTATAGAGTTAAAAAGTTATATAATATTTAACGAGGAGTTGGATAGGAGACAAGGGTTCCTTTCCGGTCTACCCTATAGTGATAAAAAAAATATATACATCTGATGTGAAACTTGCATGTCAGGTTTTATAATCAAAGGGTCCTCATAAGATTTGCTAACCATTGAGTTAACATTACAAATAAATTATAAAGAAAAGAAAAAGCTCATCGGAGCGACTAAGACAAGGAACATATGAAGGTAGATGAGGGGGGCGATCCAGGAGGGGGGGGGGCAGGGACACGCCCCCCCCCCCCCCGCGAAAATTTGAAAAAGTGCACACACACACATAATGTATAGCATAATACTGACTAAAGACTGCACTTTTACGCTCTGGAGGGCCAAAGAGTGCAGCGTTTAGACTAATAAAAATGCAAGAATCTTGTCGCTCCCTCGCATAATATCCTTCAAAATATACAAGTAAATATTGTAGAAATCTGTATTCCGTTGGTATCAATTAAGCACAGTTTATCCTGTATGTTTACAAGACTAAGAGTTATAGAAATAGTTCAGTGCTGCTCCATTATACTTACCGGTACTACAATTTACATACTATGTATTTACAACCCTTCGGACTGCAAAATAATTTACCGGCAAAGTAAAAGTGAAGTGTGAGAAAATTATCATATTGCTCGTTTTTATACTTTATATATATTTTTGCTTTGGAATATAATTGTTTAATCACAACAAAACTTCAAAACATGAGAGGGGGATAGTCACTTCTGTCACCTTGTCCCCTCTCGTTCACTATATGCTCCCTCCCTCCCCCACACCCCCCCGTCATGAAAAGAAATCACCACCCCTGGGTACGTATATAATTTAGTGGACTTATAAGTCCACTAAATTTTACATTTTTTGAAATAGAAATACAAAAATAACCGCATAGATTTGCTTACAGAATTTGTATCGGAAGGGGTGTCGCCTCTAACCCCCCCCCCCCCCTCCCCTCCACCTCCCCTCCCCCCCTCCACCTCCCCTCCCCCTCCTCCCCCTACGCTGACTCCAGCGACCTCCGATCCCCCATAGACGACGCGGCGCTCGTGCATAATATTTAGTAGCGCAATATGATCATGTGCGGATATGGTTCCGCACCGACACCACTATACCTGCCAGCGGCTCGCCACATAACTATAGATGTTAGTGTTACCCATACGTAGCCGTCACTGTGCTGTTCATCGCATTCATGAATACAATTCTCCAGATTCGAAGCTGATTTGAACAAATTAACTCTGAAAGATAACAGAAAATAGAATACAAGCCACGGACATCTATTCATTGTGTGCTGGAAAGACAGTTGGTTGGTAATAATAATTGGTTGTTACACATAGCCGAGGCCGAGCGAACGGGAGGTACCGATATACTAGCCCGGTAGGATCGGCTAAGTTTTCCATGGTTTCACGCTTAACACGAACGACAACTGTTTTGCACGTCGAAAGTCTCTTCATTCATTCCGCAGTCTCCTCGTGAAAGATCACATTTAATGGTAGTTTTCGCCCGATATTGACGGGAACCTCAATCAGATCAGTTTTCTGAAGATGCACACGTGTTTAATTGGGTAAGTATTCTTTACATCTCATTAAGTAGTTTACGTTAAATCCTTATATAAATCATATTTTGTGGGTTAATGATTGAATTCATAATCATGGGGTTAACACGATTTACACATGTAGTCGTTTCTTGAAGGATAACAGATTTGACTGTGAGTTAACAATAGACACCTAAAAACTGTATTGTCATGAATGTCAATTATATTGCAAATTTTCTTGATGATATTGAAGATAAGTAATAAACAACTATGTGCACAATTATATATTATTTCATATTTATTATTATTTATTTTATTTTTTATTTTTGTGTGTGTATAAATGGGGCATTTTCAAACTGTATTCAAATTTATGCATTTTCACCCAGCATCCAGCCTGTTGTATATTCACCTGTTTATTATTTTATCTTAAGAAAAAAAACCTAAATCACTGAATGTAGTTTGCATGCCATATTTGTTGCTAGGTCAGACAAATATTATGGCTTGCGGAATTCCTCTACCTCCGAACACCTAAGAACACCTAAGAAACTGCAGTATGCTTCTTGACTATTGAAAAATAGACCCTTCATATTGCAGGTGAACAAAATCATTCATAACCAGGCACTTCACAAAGACTTGGCATTAATTTGATTATGTGGCCCTTTTTAAAAACAAAGAAGCCCGGAGCTTTGAAGGCTAGATGGAGAGGAACTTATTGCAAAATGGTATGAACTCTGTGAAGTGAACAAGAATCATTCAGTTGGATTTGGATTGTACGTTTCTTTCTCTTGGAGATTTTCGTTTTTCTATAGATTTCTTGACCCTGTTATTGTCATTGTTATTATCATTATTATTATTATTATTATTATGATTATTAGTATTATTATCATTATTACCTGTATTATTATTATTATTACTACTATTGTATTTTTTAATAATTGTTATTATTGCTAGAATTATTATAATTATTATTCACAAATTGTAGGGTGTATTGGTAATTTGGTATCATCAAATCGTCCTTGTTTTCACGAAGTGACGGTAGCGAGGAAAGTCGTAATGCAAAGTGAATGCAATTTTTTTTCACTACCGTCACTTCGTGAAAACAGCAACGAAATGTATCAAATTTCAGAGCGCTTTAAACTTTAAAAAAATATACGGATTATGGATGTACAGGGGTACCTATATTTTGTGTGAATGTTTTCATATTTTTCAGAAATCCTTCTCAGAAATAGCTAGGTTTCTCTTTTCAAAATTTGAAGCATATGAGCACTCTATTTTAAGAAACTATGTCCCTTTTGCAGCCAACACTAAATTCTGTAGAACTTTGCAGGAATTATGAATGTGTCATGTATGTCCTATCTGTGAAATTTAAACGTTATCAGTTTCCTAATATTCAAATTATGCAAGGAAACCCGTTTACTTGCTAGACTTCACTGTCGGACACTATTGAGTAACTGACTGGCTTTTTTCTTCTTTGGTAATAACATACATAAAATGAGCTGTAAAGGGTATATGAGCATTTGTCTACATCAATAACCCAATTCCTGTAATGGCCAAAATGAAACTGTTTGAATCTTTGCCCAGCATAAAATATATACGACCTTTCGGTACAATGGTCTGAAAATCAGACTATTACTTATTGGCTCTATAGCTCCTAAGTCTTTATTTTCCCACTTAAAGACATTTTCAAGCCCCCTTTTTTTTAGGGAAGTTCTAAATTAGTATTGTCTTTCAAATGCCGTTGGAATTTAACCTTTTCATTTTTTGGGCCTGCAAATGGGACATAGTACCTTTAGTTTAAAGACATGTTTGCTATAAGTGCAACTACAGTATATGAGCCAAATTGTAATGTGCAATAGATTGAATTATTTTAGTCTATCATGCACACATGTACATGTATAGGATGTACTGTACTTGTTGTATTGTACGAGGCATAGACTGAGCATCATAACAGCATGACCAGCACCTACATGTAGCTGCATTAATGATGCTGGGGTTTTTGATGAATTATAAATGAATTGCTGCGTCCATGCTATATATACCGGTAGTGATGAACACCTTTTTAAGTTTCTATACATTGGATTCGGATCTCCATTTTGTAAACCCATTTCACCCTATTTAATCATGCATAAATTACAAGCAGAAACCAGTGGGTGAATGAAATCATTGCCATCGCAAGTACTGATTCTGTTGTCTAGTTGGTCAAATTGAGAATTATTCTGGCTTTCAGATGTTCACATAATCTCACTATACATGTTGATTAATTCACCTTTTCAGCTGATATTACTTCTGTGTGAAGATCAATTGATCATTGTATGCTACATTTAGCATTTTCCTGGTGCCTGATTTTACATTTTGTCAATTCATTATAATGTTTTCAGGCTTCTCACCCCTCCCTTTGGTGGGTTATTTTCATATTCTAAGGTAAAAATATTTTAGATTTGAAAAAATGCAAGATTGACAACACTGCTGTATACATGTACTTGTAACCTACAGTGTAACATCATTTTCACAAAAGAGAAATCATGCCAACATGTTCATGTACAATATGAGCTTGAATTAAAAAAAAAATCAACTAGATTTCCAACTTAGATATGGATGGTACATTTAAGATTTATGTTTATCTTCAATCATAACCCTTTATGTACCCTAATGGTCTGTGGTCTGGAGGTAAATGCACATTCAAACTAAAGTAGATGTAGATCGTACAGTCATCTTCATGGATGAAAGTTTAGCAATCCTGAGTGAGGTGTAGTGAATGTTAATGATATAGAGCCTATTGAATATCTCTAACTCTAAGGTCCTAGTATTTGATTTGGTCTGATTTTGAAGGTACAATGTACATGTTGTACAGGGCTCATATTCATTAAACCTTACTAAGATAAGAAGTCAAATAACTAACTACATACCATATAGCCTATGTCACTAGTTGACTAGTAAGCTTTTATGATGTATGTATGAGATTTTGACATGGCTGAGAAATATCAATTTTAAAAAATTGTTTCTTAATGTAAGAAGAAGAAGAAAAAAATAGAAAGTTTTTGAGAAAAAAAAAATCATTACATGTTTAGAAGGAAAATAATAAAAGGCAGTCCAATCTGATCAACAGATTGAATTGTGTGAAGAAAGTTAATCCGAGAAACAGGTTGGTCAAATCCTAAAAGAATTTTTTTTTAAATTGTTTGAAATCTGAGCTCATGCACTATAAAATCTTTGTGAATCTCGACTTTTATTAATTGTTCATTTGAAAGCAAGAGGACAAGTCTCCTATAGTATGGACATTTGCTTTCCTAACTTTAGGGTGTATTCCATGTACTGTAGGCCTATGTCTATAGCATGGTGTTATCAATAAAGAAAAGATCAAACTCAATAGGAACATTCAAAGTAATGATATTCTTGTCATTTTGTTATGTGTTTGAGACAATTGTAGAATTATCTGATATTTCATCTGATTTTGTTGTCACTTAACCCAGTTTGAAATTCCCATGATCTCAACTGAATATTTATAGATCTATCATGTTTCTCTGATGTCATTCAAACTGAATTAGTTGATCTGTTTCTATTAGTATTCTCTTTTTCCTTCAAACCTCCTTAAGTCATTAATGGTCGATTTCCCTTCGGATGTTTGTGATCATCTGTCTAGCATTTAGAAGAAAAAATAAGAAGAGAGACGTCAGCCAAGGAAATACTCAGAAGGTTTAGGTGTTTTGAAAAAGGCTTAAATGATGAACATGTTTTTGAAGAGTTCATTAAGTGCATTCATTAAGTGACCTTCGGCTTCACTAGCATCAGTTTTCTGTGAAGTACAAGCAACGATAATTAGGACAATTAAATGCTAATGATAAAGGGGAAAAATGAAAACACCGGAAGAAATAAATGAGAAGCAGATTGGCAGGAAGTAGCAAAGATACATTGTGCATTAGAACCAGAATAGACAAAATGATAGATGATGAACAAAAATGGGATCACCTTACATTACATGAAATTATGAGAGAAGAAAAGAATGAAGAACAGGAAGGTGAAAATGAATAGAATAATTAGAGAAAGAAGGTAAATGGAAGAAGAATTTGATATAAGTAGAAGAAAAACAGATGATAAGCATGTGTGATAATGAGAAAGTAAGATATGAAGAAGACGGAGATGAAGAAGAAGGTGGAGAAGAAGAAGAAAAGAAGAAGAAAAAAAGAAAGAAAAGGAGTTAAAAGAAGGAAGAGTTCTAGAAGAAGAAGAGGAAGAAGAAGATAAGGATGGAAACAGAATAACTGCAAATAATGAAAAGGAGGGTGGGGGAGGGGGGGCGGCAAGGTGGACTTGCAGGAGGAGAAGCAGAAGAAGAGACTTTATTAGAAAATAAAAGTAAATAAGTAAAACAGCAGAATAGGGGTAAGAACATACAGGGAGAAAGAAATTGATGTACAATTGAAGAACAAAATAGACATTTGCTACATTCCTTCTCCCAGGGGAAAATGATTTGGTTGAACTGCTGCAATAACCATGTAGAACCAGTCCCCCATCTTTACAATATGGAGTGCTTTCAAAGTTTCAAACGTAATGATCATGGTAAACAGTCTTTAAAAGCCCTGATTTTAAATATGTGAGAACGTATAAATGCATTCAAAGAATGAGGCATCAAAGGTACATCTACATAGAGTACAGTATGTGTACTACACTGTACATGTTCAAATAGTGGGGAACATGCAGATTTGTAATCTGTGATCTTTATTGATTGTAGGTCTAATGCTAGACCTGTTTTAAAGGGTAAAGGGGATCTCTTCAGGATGTTTACATGACTTTTCTTTTCAAAATATTTAGATTGTTGGCAAATGTGTGTACCATTGTTTGACATTCTAATGGATGTTATTTTGCAGGTAAATCCATCAACGAGCGCAATCTACGATGTCTCTCTTCACACCGATCACCAACCTAAGACTAGGAGGGAGTACCCCCATCGCTCCCGACAACCAAGCAGTCTACATCACAGAGGTGGATGCTCAGAAAAGGTAAGATCTAGGACCCGTTTCACAAAGCCTTTTTTCAATGACAATGACAAAAATCATTGACAAATCTGCTGATAACCAATCAGAAGCAAGGATTTCAGTAGCTTATCACAAAAACTGTCATTTGTCACTGATGACAAGTTTTGTGAAACACCCCCTGGTGTGATAGGACATGAATCAGAATCAATCCGCCTACATGGGATCCTAAAAAAATATACATACCGGTAAGCCTTGTATATCAAACATTGCCAGTTGTCTCAGCAAGTGTGATCTATTGGGCTAGTTACAGAATATAACATGCGATGTAGTTACCCCCTTTCCAGGAGAGTTGATTGTAGAATTATTAAAAAAAAAGGGGGGGGGTGGGGGGGGGGGGGGGGGAGGAAGAGTTACTTGTAAATTAGAAGTATAGTATTCCCTATTATAAGTGCATATCAACACAAATTTAATTATAAGTGCATATCAACACAAATTTAATTTAATTATACAGATATTCACCTCGGTGATCACATTTCAATGAATTCTCTGCATATTCACAAAAGGGAACCATTCATTTCCATTTATTATTTTAATTTCTGTCCAACTGAATTATAAACTATTTTTTTCAAATATTAATACAATAATAGGACTAGGGTGGATGGAAAAGGAATTTTGAAAACTGGCATATAGGAAATGACAAAAATATGTTATCACTCAAATGGAAATGTACATTTTTCAATTTTTCACAAGTGTTTTGATAAGATTATTTAAACTCTGATATATGAAATGAAAATATATTTTATCTTAATAGTAGCTTAACAATGTGATAGAAGGCCTCTGCATTAGAAGTTGTTCCATGCATACACAATTGGACTATAGCCTAGCCAAGATACAGTGGCGTAATGAGCAAAACTTTTTTGGGAGCAGAAAGAAAGTATAATTTACAAAAAAGTGAGAAAAAAACCCTAGAAAATCATATCATTTTGGCAACATTTGTAAATCACTGTTATGAAATTAGAATTAAACCATGCTTGAATTGTATTGGGGGGAGCGGCAACTGTCCCCCCCCCCCCCCCCCCCCCCCCTTCGCCCCTCATCAGCACGCCAGTGCTAAGATGTATTCATCTTTTACTGGTGTACACTCTGAAAGATTACTATCCTCAAAGACCTCAAGCCATGAAAAAAATGCTTTTTAATGAGCAGAGCCTTTCATGTATAAATACACCGTAATCTAGCTTTTATTGGCCTTGCAATTAGTACAGAGTGGAGATACCTTTTCATTTCTACTGACAGTGCGATACCTCTCTAAACAATACCTCGTGTACTGAACAAACCATAATTACTAGCTTGCAGCGCCGGAGCATTCCAGCGCTGGATTTATTTGCAGTAGTATTACAATCATGCTTTCATCATCCAACCATGGTCCGACTAATGAAAGGCTGGTTGGCTAGCTGGTAGGAGATGAGTGCTTATGTGGATTTTTTGCAATCATGATTGTTAACACGTAGATGTTATGAGCTAAAGTAGTCACGTGATATCGGCCAATCATGAGGATGATATTTTGAGCCTTGGGCCAAGTCATGAATCAATAAAATCATATTAGTGAACGGAGACATTAGTCAAGCGTATGTAATGACAGGAATAAATCATTTTCCTATGATTACGTCCCTCAGGAATCAAGTTTGCAAGTTGTGTAATAATGATATATATTCAACAAATGGAGACGAGTTTGGCCAAAAGGCTAAAGATCATATTAAAACTTTGGGTCTTTTCTTTGCCTCTCTGCACTCATTTGCCACACTTGCATTTTTGGCTTTTTGCACAAAACAATATATGTATAAACTGATGGAGAGAATTCTTTGTGCAACACAGTAGCTTGGTTAAATGATCAATATCCGTTTTTGATTAACTACTGAGTAGATGAAAACCCTAACATTGGTATAGATTAGTATACATGTATGATAGATACATATGTGGCATAAAGAGATTATTTGTGTGGCATGTAAAGAGTTAAGGTTATAAAGATAATTGGAACCATGAATGTGATCGTGCTTTATTAAAGACCCACAATACTAACCATGTAGGATGAAATAACCATCGTTTTCCTACATGCATTTTGAATACATTTGATAATATAAAAGTGATCTTTTCTTACAAGTTTACATTGTAGCTCTGTTTCATGCATGAGGCTGTATAGGTAATTAGATACTTTGTTTACTTTCTATAACTGAATCACTATATAGTATGAAAGCAACATCTATTACACAGAATCTTTGCTGTATGGTACATTACAAACCAAGCAGTGTTAAAAAAACCCAGGATAAACAAAGATTTTTGTCCAGGATTCAATGTAGAAATTCATGCTTTTCTATTCTATCCCTTGATATACATGAACATGTAGAATGTTGAATCATTGTAATTACAGTTATCATGAAGATACAGTTCATTTTCTTTTGAACTGGTTATGTTTATGATAGCAATGTGTTAGAAGCTAAAAGGGCGTTATATCATAAACATGTACTTTGACATAGAGTTAACTCCCTTTTGGCTCTGAACAGGTGGATTCCTGTCATACCCATCTCCCTAGCTCTTTTTGTATTTCTTAACCTGTACTGCATGTAAATCTATCTATTCCACATGCATGTCCAGTTGAGTGAGATGATGACTCACAAAGCTGTCACTATTCCTCTGAAATAAACACATATCATCCAGAAAGAGATGCATGCAAGTGGATATGGAAAGTGATGATGAAATTCTTAGAACTAGCATAATCCCCCCACCAGGGAATATTCACATCTAAATTGCCCAGAGTATATTGGGGAATGATATGTTTCCCTCTGAAGTTCACAGTCTTTGTACAAATTGTCGTCATGGCTCCATGCGATTAACATAATGCATGTGTTGATGATTGTACATGCAGGCAGGCTCACACATAGGGATTAATTTAGTGATGAGACGGTGTGAAAATAGAGTGCTTCGATCCAGACACCTGACCTACATGTACTCCTTATTCAGGAGACATTGAACTTGAAATGGAAAAATAGGAAGCAAGAAAGATGATTCTTTGAAACAATCAAAATACTGAAGTCAGTTACATTGTACATCTTGATAAATGAATGTGCTATTGAATGTGTTAGAAAGAAGCATCCAAAACGCAAAAGACAAAATAGTTAGTGATATCTGTTACTTCAAAGTTCCTTTTTGACATCTACATGTATAGCTAAATGAAAGTTGAGGTAAAATTAGGTCTAATCAAAATGTATTTACCAGGGATGTGGTTTCACCTCTGTGTGATGAAATGATGATTTTTCAACACATACACATTTTGCGTTCTGGACGCGTCTTTTTGTGCTAATATATTGCACTATGAAAGTTACCTTTACTGTTTGTTGTGTGTGAGTTATAGGACACAATGAGAGTAAGCTAATGTGAAAAGAATCCATTCGATTTCCATAATTCCATATAGTAATCATTTTTAGAATCACTGATGTTAAAGACTATATCATTAACCCCTCTCAAGAAATGTTAATGTCCCATTCAAATAGTGAATAACTGTTTTCTTCTTTTTTCTGTCTTCTTTTCTTCAAATGCCTGCAAGGCTGCAATGCTGCTTCAATTTCTGTCAACATTCTAAAATCTAGATTCCACCGTTTAATTTGTTATAGTTGTTGTTCGATAAATTTAAAGACATGAAACATAATCTATATCCTTAACTCTGTGTTACTACTTTGTTCAACAATTATGGAAACTATGAACATTACCGGTAGGTTAATTGTGAGCATGTCAGTCTCGGATGTAGACATGATTTCTCTTGTGTCGTTAACATGTCTCATCCTACTTTCTATCATCCTTCCCATCCTCCTAAATGAAGTCATTATTATGTATGGTAGTGGGTTCATTCTATATGACTGATTTATCATGGATGCGTGCACTGTATTTCAATGTTCATATTTGATCATTATGGGCCCATTCAGACTATAGGATATTTTTTACAATACTTGTATAAGAAAAGTTGTAATATAGAGAAACATTATAGCGAAAGGGGTGTACAATACTAGAAAACATTGTATAAAGAAACAAGTCTTGAAGAGGTCACTTACAGGACTGTTGGCTAAGTTACCGTTGGCTAATCATTAATGCTTGCTCACTCTAAACCCACTTAGTTACACATGAACATGAACATACATGTCGTTATTTGTATGAGTCGAGATTCAGAGTTTCAGTCTACAGTGGGAAACTTATCTTTCTCAAGTTTTCATTTGAAACGAAGCTCAAACATGCGTTGAGCTACCGGCATACAACGTTTTTGTTAGACAATATTTTGTTTTACAGTGTTTTGTTGTATGACGTTCAAACTAAGAAATAATGCTCAGCTACCGGTATACATGTACATGATGAATTCTTCTGGTGGACTGAACGCGCGCAGGCTAATATGTTTTCATGTTTAGAACTAGCGCTTTGAGTTTGGTTTTATTGCAAGTGTAGTGGAGCTGAATGATATGATTGGTAATTGAGGGGGTGTGAAATGGACTGGAAGCAAATTAACTGATCCCAGTCCAGGCAGGAGAGATTTATATCAATAAATATTTAATATCATATTTGGAATCTAGCTCCGATCCCATGTAATGAGTCTGAGATGAACTGTGTTCAATTCAAAGTGCGAAGTGAGCTTGTTACTGAGCTGGAGCAGCATGTAGGCCTATTCAGGTTTGTCTTTACGTTACTGTTTCATAATGGTGATGCTTATTACATGTACTATAAGTTTTTGGTAATATAGAACTGTGTTATCCAAAGAGTAAGTCAAGTCAAATTTAAATAAATGCAAACCTAAAGAGATTTTGTTGTGAATTAAATCAAAGTTGAGTAATTTTGCTCTACATTAGTTTGTCTACAAATAAACTTGAAAAAAAACATTCCAGGTAGATAACAGCCAATCTCAATAATTCTTATCTCAAGGCAAATTGAAGATTTTGAAATTCATATCGATGTTTGCACAAAATATCATAACTCTTTCTCATTGCTTCATACATGTATATTGTTTTCAGGCACAATTTCAAGTAATTACTTGGTTAGAAAGTGCCTCACAGCCCACTGTACTCTTTTACGATACATTATATTTGAGGAAGAGACAAGATTTATCGATTTGTGTGGGTGGTTGATGATCAAATTCTAAAGCAAATCATCTCTTTTACAGGAATTCAAGAAACGGTTTCAATACCCTGTTGACCCATGTATGTGACCAAGGCCCTGAGGTAACTTTATACTAGGATGCCCTATTTCCTAGTGGATAGCATCTATGTAAATGAGATGCTAGCTTGTCTACATCCTAGTGGTGAAAAGGGCTTAATCGTGACAGTGCATGATGATGCATCGCTACACTTAATTTAAAGGGATCCGCTAACTTTGTCTCAGATTTTGAAACAAAATCCTGGATTTAGCTTTATGCTGCAATCATAATTATAAACCTTTAGGTCAGTCAGGAACCCCATGACTTTTATAAGCCGATCACCTGTCTGATTATCAAGATATTTATGATTGGAATTACAAATTTTGAAAACCGTTTGCCAAACGGTTTTCATAACACTACAGTCTATTGGGGAAAACGAGTATGATAAAGCCGGTCACTCAAATATTTTTACTTTTTTGAGGCACTTCTTGATCATTTTGAAGCACAATTTTTTTAGGGCTTCAATATTACACCATATCACAGACACTGATAACACATAGGGTCATGCATCTCAGATTTAACAGTGTTAACGGATGCCTTTAAATGTAAAGATTCTTGTGAAATTGGTAAGTCACGAAATCAGTACCCTGCATTCAGACTTATAGTATTTATTGTATAGCTGTACGATTTAAGTATTTTTTTCTAGTCTCAAAGTCATATAAAGAAACGTTGTATAGCGAACCGCCTGTTTGCTCATCATTTTGAATGAAATCTCGATCATTGATGAAGAATCAGGTCCCTACTGTAGTGTGAATGTTGTTGTATCGTACAAATAAAATCATGTAACTGGGCGGGGCTTTTCATGTTAACTGACCTAGTCAAAATTTATTTCTTTATGAAATGTTTCTTGATACAATGTTGTCTTCTAATCTGTATGATCCTTTTGCTATACAATAATTTAAAATGGATTATTTTACTGAAACAACATTTTAAACAGAATGAATATAAGTGATTCTTATAAAATATGCTTTTGTTTTCCTTTCCTTACAAATTTGTTATGTACCCAACCTTAATGGAATTTTTACACTGGATTTCAATTATAAGCTTATGACTTTTTGAAATGTTTGGATCGCTGTTTCTCTGCATCAGTGATTTTGATAATAACAGAAAAATGAGACAATCCTGTTAGTGGAAATATTAGAAAAAATATCAGATAAATCATCCTGAACGTAATGCATTTTTCAAGATCACTTTACAGATTGGTGTGTGATTGCTGTACCACCTCCTCTCTTTTTGTATTTGATTATAACCAATATATCCCTTTTTTACAGTTGATGAAATAATAGATTATTTTTATATGTAAATTAATTGGATTTTTATACAATTTGTTGATTGCATCAGCAATTTTTTTTCCTGAGAAGAATAATTTCTGAAATTATAGCATTGCCTACACGTATTTCCTTCAAAAGTTTTTTTCCAAATATCCATAAACATTCACTGTCCTCTTTTTATCATTTTTTTGCATTTATTCCCAACCATATTGATTTCAAGGAAGGTTTTCCCTAGAAGTATACATGTATGTTTAGCAAAATGTAAAATGAGATAACTGGGTGTCAGTAAAGTTATCATCCATTTGTTGCAATTCTGTAAGAATCATAATTTTTTTCAACAAATTAACAACTCAAGGGGCAAGGGCAATTCAATACCCTATTGTTTTTCCCAGAAAAATCATGTTTAGATTACACAATATTTCAATATCACGTTCACACATTTCATTAGGTGATGCACAAGGCTATTGAAATCGCCTTAGATTGATTTTTCAAAGTAGTTGCTCTTGTGGTGTTTTTATAATGATTGTGAAGAGGAAAGGTGTATGGAGGAAGGTGGGGAGGGGGGGGGGAGGAGGAGGAGGGGGGGGGGCTGGATGGGATGACCCATTTCTGTTCCTGACTCTCTTTCCTATGGAGGGGTTGTAAACACTTGAGATGTGCAGGTTGTATCCATCCTCTGTGTCCTGTGTCTGTTTCAAGCAGGTAACTAAGTGCATGTAAATAGATCAAGATGTAGAGGATATGAAGACTTGACCTATAGATACAGTGCAGTCACTATTAAAGGCTGGCTGGCCTACAAACACCTGAGGTTCTGGGGTTTGAGCCCCTCCCCCTTTAAAAATGTTTGAAAAAAATGTTTAAAAAATAGATAAATAAGAATGAAAATAAATACATTTCCCCATATAAAAGGGATCCCCAAAACCATGTTTTTCTTTCTTCCTTGAGGTTTGTGGTGAGTGAAAATGCACCCCAAAATGTGAGGACTTTCCTGCTTCTGTACATTTACCGCTATACCTCAATGGTGTATGCTAGAGTCAAGGTTGTAATGAAACCAATTCAATTCACCACATATCCAATTGGCTATAATCCTATTGTGATCAATACAAGCTGTACAGGAGCTATCTCTCTGGTTTCATCATACATGACGTAGGGGTGTAGGAGGGGGGTATGTCGTGGGTTGATTGATTTGGTTTCCATCAATGGGCATACGAGAATCAATCAATTAGCATAGATTGGTTAGCGTGCCAAACCAAGCTCAATTTGATGACACTAGATGAGACCTCGTCGCTCTGAAGGCCACAGGTATTTTTAATTCTCATGATAAAAAACAATATGAACAGAGTATAAAGCAGGGTAGGTATTCAGGCATGGAGTGATAGTCATTCTAAAAAGGGCATTGGGAATATGGGATACAGTATAGCTATAAGCAGCTTATAGATTTGACTATAATCACTTAAATTGGGAGTGAGTAGAAAGAGTAGGGTTGCAGGCTATTGTTTAAAGGGAAAGTCCGCCTTGATATAAATTTGTTTTGATAGAAGTGGAAATATGGATGGGGGAGAGAGAGAGAGGAGTAACATTAAATCAATACATGCACCCTTAATATGATCGTTGCATACAAATATGTTTTCTGAAATATCTTTATTAAACAGGTTTTATCATTTCTTGATAATTCATGCAAAATTTAAATACCAATTCAATGGGAGAGATGCTTGCAAGATGCGTCATTTGATGGATGATACCAGTTAAAACTCACAACTTTCATATTCTTATCACATTTTGCTCAAACTTTCACTAATCTGTTTCTCACACTTTCCTGTCTTGTTTAATACCAACTAAATGTCAGGGTGGATTTGTCATTTAATTGGACACCACCGTGGCAGCTAGAATAACCAAATGTTATTGTCCCATGAGTTTGTAACACAGAGGTTATTTTTGTTTGCCTTTATTTCTCACAAACAATTTATAGTAAAAATATTTATTTGCCTTTATTTTCACAATAATATTGTATTTTTTTAAAGCTTTGTTTGGTTGCTCATCATAAATATATGGTTTAGGCCATCGCTTAGGTTTCAATTCCCTCCATGTGAAGAATATGAATACATAAATGATGTGTTCGAGTTCACACACCCTATCATATGAACACATGTGAAATCCTACTCAGTCAGTCAAAGCCAAGGGCATTATTGATTGCTAGAAGGAAAAGGCCAGATATCGGGAACGCTGAACATGTCTTCCAGGTCCTTGCATGGGTTGTATTGCGCGGTACCTTTTTTAGCTCATTGAAATTTTGTGAAGACAGTTATTTATTTGATGTCGATAGCTAGTGATGTGGGCATTTAATGACAACAAACCACAAAATCATGATTGTTTTATTTCAATTTTATAAAAGTCACTAGATGATTATCATTATTATATTTTATCATGAGGGCATCTTATTTTTTTCATATAATATGTATGTGTGGGTGTTTTTTCTTTTCTTTTCATAACATTATTTATCACAGATACTTGCTTCAGCCTCAACAGCTGTTTTCAGAGTACTATCTATGGACACTCTAACAATGAGAAATAAATCCACATACATGAATATGATACTGTTTGTTTGATTTGTAGGTTTGCACGATGTGGAGAGCCATTGATAGCGATGGTATGCTCAGATCATACTATCAAACTGGTTGGCAAGGAAACCATGTCATCAGCAGGTCAACTCAAAGGTGAGTAATCAATATCTCGAGTTAAACGCTTTCTCATCAGGTTTATCCCACAAAAGAGGGAAAAAAACTTGGTTTTCCAACTATTTCAGATTTCCATTTTTGTTTTCCCTTGATGGCCTCCACAATAAATGACTAGTGCCTTATGCAGGCCTGATAATTACCTGATTTTTTTTTACTCAAGGGGGGGGGGGGGGGTGCTCACTATCACCCCTGCTTATGTAAAAAAAAAAAAATGTTTTATTAATATATCTGTAGTAGCTCCTGAAGAAAAGATGATAAGTATTACCTAGAAGGTGGGTTTTTAAAGCAAGTGGATAGGAGCAATGGAATTTTCAGCAAATCAAATTTAAATTTCACTAACATTATGAAGATGAAGTAGTAGCAAATTTCATTTTTGTGTACGCTTGAAGAAATATATGTGGAAGCTTTAATTACAGGATTGTAAATATTACCAGAATAGGATGATCATGCATCATAGAGGAGTCATCTTTCCCAGTATGAATTCTTTTGAATGTTTCTTGCTGCCTGCATGCTATCAATATTTCTCAATGGTGTTACGATTGATGAGACATCCATTGCTGACTGTAACAATTCATCATGTGTTCATGGGTATACACCAGTATATTGAAGAGATAGTGATATAAAGTGTGTGTTTGTGTGTGTGGGTGTGTGTGTGTGAGAGAGAGAGAGAGAGAGAGAGAGAGAGGAGAGATAAAGGGAGAGAATGGAGAGAGAGAGAGAGAGAGAGAGAGAGAGAGAGAGAGAGAAGTTATAAAGGGAGAGAATGGAGAGAGAGAGAGAGAGAGAGAGAGAGAGAGAGAGAGAGAGAGAGAGAGAGAGATAAAGGGAGAGAATGGAGAGAGAGAGAGAGAGAGAGAGAGGGGGAAAGAGAGGGGGACAGTACTGAGGAAGAAAGTGAGAAAGGCTGAGCATAGAGACAAGAATAGAAAGTGTGGGTGTGTGTGAGGGTGTGTGGTTAGCAAGCAAGGACACTCATATGAACTCTATCTTCACTTTGACGACAAAAAGAGGATGTCCTCATTTTAAGGACCCTGTAAATTGTTTGAAATTTGAGACCCATTTTATTTAGATGCTCTATTTGCATGGTAAAGGTAGATCCTCGGGTATGACTCTGCAGTCAAATAATTTCCAGATCATCCTCAGGATGTTATATTCCTACAAACATGTCTGTCCTTGAATATGAAATAACATACTGATGTGTATTATGAGTCCTTGATTTACACCAGAAATGCTTATGTGTGTGTGAGAGAGAGAGGGAAGATGAGAGAGTTTTGAAAGAGAGATAATATATATATATATAGAGAGAGAGAGAGAGAGAGAGAGAGAGAGAGAGAGAGAGAGAGAGAGAGAGAGGGGGGGGGGGGGGGGGGGGAGAGAAAGATGGTATTGTTTATGAGAGAAAGAAACATGAGAGTAAAGCAGGGTGACTGCTTCCGGAGGGATATATATTTACTGACATACTTTGTACACATCTACTATAGATACACATTTACTGTATAAAAGGAATCTCACATGCTTGGCTAAGCTGAATGTTAATCAATCGTTTCTATAATCATCCTTACAGGTTTTACATGATTTGTATCAATGCACTTCACAATGTGAAGTGCATTGATTTGCTTATGTTCTGAAAATGGCCTGTCTAGCTGTAAAAAAGAGAAGTTTTAGCTTAATATTTAAAATTGAACAAATTGAACATCACCCTGACTCTGGAGTCTTACATCTTCAGTAAAAGTATCTTCAGAAAATATCAAGCATTTATTGACTAGTGTTACCACCTGTTGTGACTCTGTAGAGAACCAGTTGAGAGCCCATGTTATTAACTCTTCAAGTCATGCAGTGAAACAGCACAAACAATCAAAACAATTACCTTCCCTTTCTGCTATCTGCCGTTTAAGAGAGAACGACCATGCCCAAAATGTTCCATCAAACTCAATTTGAAGTATGAGGCATACGCACAGCAAGGTACAGTCCACGCTTCCTCATTCCCCCAATGTAGCTTACAGATCAAATGAGAATCCAATTTAGGCTCAAATTTCCCTCGTAAAGCTGAAAATTGAAAAGAAATTGCTGGAAGTAAAGGGCAAAGGGATAAGCTAGCAGGCATCACAGAAGCTGAAGATGCCTCGATTTCTTTTCAATTACATCTAGGAATGTCTTAGCGACTAGCTCCATATGTTTCAAAAAATTAAACCACTGAAAAGTAAAAAACATTTTTCTTAAGGTACTTTAATGCATCATGCTGGTAGAAGTTATATGAAAACAATAGTTTATATTAAGACTAATAATAACATTGGGTTTTTGTATAGCAGTCACGTCTGTCAGATTTGATGCTCATGGTGCTCCACAAGTATTACCTTGGTGCTAGCATGGCTGCTATTACGACGCTCTAGCATTTCAAAGAATTAATTCCTGCCAGGTACCCATTCATCACCTGGTTGGAGAGTGGCAACTGCAGATTGATGTCTTGCCAAAGGATATTTGTGCCGTGGCGGGACTCGAACCCTGAACCATGTGATTCACAGTCCAGTGACGTATCCACTAGACCATAACACCTATATTTCTAATGTTTGTGATGTGCACCTAAATGTGTGTGAGTAGAACAAAACATTTTGCTCTGGAATGCCTTATTCAAAAGAAATCACATTTTTAGTGGGTGCTTACCTCATGGAGGAAATTTGTACAAATGTACAGGTCACAGTTAAGTTCTGATCAGAAATATGCATCTTAAAATGGTGAAATTAGGAATTTCCAAATTTGTCATCAGTCAATTTGATGAAAAAACCTGACACATATTGTCCTTACAGCTTGTGGAAACATTGTGTCACTTTGGTCTGAGACCAACTCTATGCACCAAGAATAAACCTTTTCAATGAATCATAACAAAACATTAAAGCAAACTTGACATATTAAAATCATCTCTTTTGTTTAACTGTGTTATGAATTTTCAGACGACAAAAGAGAAAATCAAATCAATAAACATTTTTTTTAAGTATAAGATCAAATTGAAGATGTTACACAGCAGGTTATTTTCAACGTGAGTATGAAATATGGTATCACTGAAATGTTAATTTCTCTTTTAACATGTTATTTTATGTTATGAATCTTTCCTGTGGGTTGCACAATACAATAGAATACAATTATAGATTCCATTCGCTGTTGTTGTTTTGTTTTTTTTGTAATGGCAATCAGTCAAGACCTCACTATTATCACCAATGCCTTTCTTTTTAATAATAATTTCTTTCTTTCTCTTTTTTCTCTCTTTTTTAAATAAAAGTATCAAAAATAAAATTAAAATATAGGCTTCTCTCTCTTTTTCTCTTTTTTTTCCCCCTTAAAATGAAATGAAAGAGAAAATAGATGAAGATTAGGTTACCGCGTAGTCCTGTCTGTTCTAAGACACCATCCAGACACCGTCCTGTCTCTCGGGTGTAGACAGGGGGCTCCCTTTGGGATACATTAATAATCTGGAAACTCGAAAGAAGAAAGGAATTGATCAACAATTTTCAAGAGGGTACTTTTCCGGGGAAATTTGCTTTGAGCGACCTCGCAGACTTTAATGAACCTTTGATTTAAAAACAATTTTGTGATAAAGTGATGTTTATAATACATATTGCATTGGAATAATTAAACTTTTTAGGGGAAACAAACAAAATGTGGGCTTTTGTGAATGATGCGATTTAGTCACCGAGTTTGATAGTAAGAATGTAACGTACAAGCTTGGTTACTTGAATGATGGTGTTTGTAAACCATCCCTGATGAGAAGTAGGTATATCATGATGGTCTTATAATGGAGATGATTTTAACATCCTATCTACTAATGTCTTTATTAGCACTCACTGCACTCTAAACCTAATTCATCTGGACTCTTCATCATGATGCCGTACTAACTAGACAAACAGTCCTCCGGCAATGTAGATCTTAGCAACCTCTATGATGCCAGCACTCTCTCTCTCTCTCAAGGCTCGTCTTGCAAAGCGTTTAGGAAAATCAATGTTATATCGGTGTAATGTATGATAATGATGTCATTTCCAATTATTATAAAGTCTTTCTGTATTACATTATTCTTGTTAATTATTTTAATTGAAGAAATTATTGAGACATTTCAATTATTGTGAAGTTACCCAATTCTATTCATCATGACATGTAAACTATCATAGCAAGAACATTATACCCTTTCTCTCATATGAGTAATTGTTATAATCTGAATACAAGTTGCACAATTTGTGTTATTTGTGAGGCTTCAAAAGAATTGTTTGGCATAGATCCGCGATGTTAGCTTGCTTCCCACAATCTTATTCCCATCTAAACACTAGGAGCCTGTGTGTATGCATCATATCATCTCTTGACTAATGCTACCCTATGATTGTTGATTTGAAGAATGCTTGCCGCTCAAGACATTTCCATATCCTGAATCTACCGCTCCGCTTCACATCTCTCACCGCTTTTCTGCTTTCATCTCGACAAACATAGCCACAGGCTTTCTCCAAACCCACTGCTCCATGCCAAATGCATTATGACCTGTGGAAGGAGAGTAAAGGAAGTGTGTGGGCTAGGAAGGAGAAACCTCTCGGCTTTCTATAATCTATCATGTTCAGCATTACATCATCACCAACTGCTTGATTCAAACACAAGATTTATATTGCTAATGAAATTGGTTGTTGAGGAAGAGAGAGAGAGAGAAATGTCTTTAGTTGTGTATGTGGATGCATGTATGTGGGTGTGTGTATGTAGGTGCATGGGTGGGTGGATACTGAGGACTCTCATAAAAACTTACCTTCACTTACAGTTGTATGTGGATGTCCTTTGTTTGAAAACCCTTAAAACAAATTTAAGCCTTTTCATATAGGGTTGCATTTACTTGGGTACTCTATTTGCATAGAAATAAGTACCGGAAGGTCCTCCCTCCAGTTAATTTTCAGATCGTCCTCACTCCTTCCTTTTCCTGTTCCTCTTCTTGCCACCGCTGGGCCGAGGTGCCT